GTCCAAAAAGCTGAGGCAGAGAATGAAGAGGATTCAATAAAGGGATGCAGGTCTAGACAGTCCTGCCAAAAGAAACTTTGACTGAAGGTTAGAGTAAGATGTGGTGGTGGACGTTGCAGAGGCTGGGTTCCTGGGTTTATTTGATGGCTCCCCAGGACGTTGATGATAAAAAGGCTGAGGATGCAGCCTCACCCTCTACCCCGTGTGTGATGTTTTCTCTTTGGGATGGGTATAGATGCCAAGTGAGCAAAGAGTTGTCCTCGAGTCCTTGAGGGAGTGGAGAGATTCATCTGTTTTCTTATGGAACAGATTGATAGCATCAAAGGGCAGATTCTGGATGGCACTGTGAACCTCTCAAGGGAAACTTGAGAATTAACCACAAGTCTCTTCTCATAGCAATGGCTGTAACATTCCCCTAGACACAATATCTGCCACGTCCAGCACTGCCTGGGTGGAAGTCTTGGCCACCAATTTGCCTTTTTCCGTTAATGCCTAGAAGTGGGCTCTATCCTTCTCATGGAGCTTGTCCTTAAAATTTAGAAATTGGTAACATTGTATTTGGCAAAGAGGGCCTGATAATTTGAGATCTTGAGTTGGAGGAAGGTGAAAAAGAAGACCAGCAGATACATATCCTTGTGTGCCACTTTCTCCTGCCAAGAAGATTTACTCGGGATTAAGTCCTTAACGCCCATACACGCAGGTTCTCCTGACTTTGATGGGATCAGGGAAGCTTCCTTTCTCTTCAGGGCAATCTTGGATCAAGATGGTTTGTCCCTATGTCTATGAGAGTGCCTGTAATGGAGTCAGGCTTGGCTACTTACTGCTCGGTGGCACCTCTTCATGGATCATCTGGGGAATTAGCTCACCACTGTCCGCACCCTGTGAGGTGGTCACTCAACCCATTGTTCTGGGCAGGAGCTGCAGAGCCTTCCTTTGTGGCTTAGCCCTCTGGCCAAGTCACCATCATCCTCCCCCTTCCTAAGTATTATCATAATCTTCTTCCTCAAAGACTCAGGCCCTCTCCATATCCACTGTGCTGCTTGCACTGCTCCTGCAGCGACAGGTAGGGGAACATGAGCTCTCCCCATTTATTTCGGGTTAGGATCCAAAGACCCTCAAACCAGCAGCTCAGGTCTATCCCTCTCAGAATGTACTGTTCCTTCCCTGGACTGCTCCCTACCCTGCTCTCTCTCAGTCTTCTGTTCTCCCCCTTGTATCAGGGAGCATGACTGCAGGCTTACCTCATTGCAGTCCCCATCTATTGCGAAATTCCTCTCTTTATAAATGCTGCCTAGGTCCTTCCCCAGCTGGATTTCATCAGCAATTAGGCTTTAGCACACCTTACCTTTCCTCCAGGTACAACCTACAGGTTAATTGGACTAATATACTCCTTCAGACCTCGTTTGAGGTAGATACCCTAACACAGTACCCCTTACTTCCATGGGAAGCTTTTCTTAGAACTCTTAGCCTCTATTTCTGAGCTTGTGCTTGAAGAGGCACTGCCTACTTGCTTAGGACTTGTCTTCACTACCCACCTGGATCGGCGGGTAGAAATCGATCTCTCGGGGATCGAATTATCGCGTCTCGTCGGGACAGGACAATTGATCCCCGAATCGACGCGCGTACTCCACCAGCACAGGTAGGAGTAAGCGCCATCGACGGGGGAGCCGCGGCGGTCGATTTGCTGCCATCCTCACAGCGGGGTAAGTCGGCTCGGATACATCGAATTCAGCTACGCTATTCGCATAGCTGAATTTGCATATCTTAAATCGAGTGTAGACCTAGCCTTAGATTGATGTATGGGGTCAGTCCCCAGCCTGGACCTGATTGGGGTCGCATTGCCTTCTCCATCCGATTAGCCTCAGTTCCTGACCCTCAAAACTTCTGGGGGGAAAGGAGTGGCAGATGCTGCACTTGGCTGAAATGTGAGCCTCCCCCAGGCAACAGAAGCAGTGTTGATGTTCGTTGGGCACAGAAAAGAATTGAGGGCAAGAAGTAGTTTTTGAACCCCAGAACCCTGGCACCATCCCAGCATTCTTGGGGGTGGAGGGAGGATAATATTCCCTGGGGAAGAAAAAGGGGGAAATAACTATCTACTATGCTGCAATATAAAAATTACTAAAACAATTATATACAAAAATACAATATATTTACGGCAGTGGCATAATAGAAACGAATCTCAGGACACCAAAGATTCAGACCATGCAGCAGTAAGAATGAACTGGAGAGGCATTGGCATGCAGCAACCTTTATGCCCTCAGTTCAGCGCACAACAAGAGCTACTGAGCATATGTGGGCGAATGAATACTGATTGTAAAAAATTCCAGACTCAAGTGCATGGTTCTCATGGGTACACAAACGTGAAATACACATAGGGGCTATTATTCAAAGAAGAACTTGACATTTTAATAGCGGACTATAATTTGCCCAAAGCATTCTATAAAAATACCCATCTTGATCAGATGAACGAAAGGAGTTTCAACAAAGTTTACATTTGAAGAAAATAAATTTTTTGCAGGTGATTGTTATTATTTAACCTAATAAGTATCCTATTATGGAGCAGATACATGTAACTTGTTCTGAAATAAAAGCAAGGTTTTCACATAAGAAGCTTCCTTGCTGTATAATAAAGATACCTCTCCAGCTCCCTGGAACAGTATAGTATGATCTGACAGCTTGTTCTCAGTGATACGCAGAGCTGCTAGAAGACCTGCAACAGCCACAGCCGCTGTTCCTGAAATACAAAATGAATTCTTTTGACTACTCTTGAAATAGTAATTGCAAAGCTTTAAGTAAAAATTATCAATGATTTCAAAGCATTCATATAGCTAAAAGATGCAAATACTTGAGTTAGCAATTACAATATAGATTGGGAGTCTTGTTTGTTTTGCTTTATTTTGTTTTTATTAAATCAAAGAGATAAACGAAACTAAGAATAACTTCAGAATAAAGTAAAATAAAAAAGATTATGAACTTGATTCTAACCTCAGCTGTGTTTAGCATGTACTCTATCTTACCAACCACACCACCTAGTGCTGAGAGTCATTTGATCAGATCTCGGAGCTGAGCAAGATGAGACAGGGCCAGTAATGGGAAATGCCAACTTCCTTTGGCAGGATGCACACTAAATGAGGCAAGAGCTCCTAGGACCAATCCTATTCAACTTATTCATAAATGATCTGGAGAAAGGGGTAAACAGTGAAGTGGCAAAGTTTGCAGACGATACTAAACTGCTCAAGATAGTTAAGACCAAAGCAGACTGAAGAACTTCAAGAAGATCTCACAAAACTAAGTGATTGGGCAAGAAAATGGCAAATGAAATTTAATGTGGATAAATGTAAAGTAATGCACATTGGGAAAAATAACCCCAGCTATACATACAATATAATGTGGGC